GAGAAAGTTCTCCTACGCCTGCTGTAAAAAAAGGGTCTCTATTATAGGAGGAGGAAAGCAAGAGCAGAGACGACTTCTAAACATTCCTTATCACAAATGGCACGTCTTTTTTACTTTACACTGCATAATAAAAGTAACCTGCATATACAGTATTTAAAAATATATATATAAACCATACTGTTATTCAAAACAATGGGTTGGTACAGTTTATGTAGTTAAATTATACAGTAGGAAAACAATTAGAAATGATCTCAATTTGTAGACTGTAACTATTTTCTTCTTTTTTTAATTTCAGATATTCAGTACTTCTTAGACACTGCCCTGGCTCCATATGCCTCATATTCCTATTACATTGAGACTACCAACGTGCGTGGTTCAACAAGGAGTGCAGCTGTCACTTACAGAACAAAACCGGGGGTCCCACAAGGAAGCTTGAACTTAAGTTGTATCATTCCTATCAGCTCAGACTCTGTGAAACTTACGTGGACTGCACCGTCAGAAGAATCCGGTCCTATAGAAAAATATATTTTGTCTTGTGCTCCTTTAGAAGGTAGCCAGCTGTGTGCTCCCTACGAAGGTCGTGAAACCTCAGCTACCATCCAGAATCTGGTTCCATTCACCACATACCGCTTCTCTGTGCAGGCATGCACTAGTGGGGGCTGTTTGCACGGCTTGCCCATTACAGTGACCACAGCCCAGGCCCCTCCCCAAGGGCTGAGTCCACCTCGGGTGCGGAAGACCAGTTCTACAGAACTTCACATAGAATGGGTACCACCCTTGGAACCAAATGGTAGGCATCCAAGGCCCGGATTTCCACTTCTTGGGCAAAAACATGAATGAGAAACTAGGAATTTGGAATTGCACACTGAGACGCTGGCAATTGTGTTCATGGTTATAACTGCAGGATATAATAATTGAGAATTTCTAAATATATACTATTTGTCCTGGTTCCTGAAACAAGTATATTTCTTTTAATCTAATAAAAAATTCCATTCAATTAAATGGCCCCTTAAAAGGCTGGTATTATCTTTGCTCTTAATGACATCTGCCACCACACAAGTGATGTTTATAATTTGACACTCACTTATGAAATGCATTATATTTGACTCTGTCATAAGTTAGGGCACTCAGAAAGAGTAAATTTTCTCTTTTAAGCAAGAATAGGATGTAAAATAATTTTTAAAAATGTATGTAGGTTAGCTGACTCCATTAAGTTAATTTTTGTATTCAAATGATTGAACCCTTGGTTATATAGGCCAGACACACATTCATAGATTTTTTAGTAATTTAATATCACACACATAGTAAGGGAAAACCCGACTTAGACTTTTTAAGTTACTTGATAAATCTAGATAGAAATTCACTATCTAATTTATCTAATATTTATGTAAAAAGGACTTAAGCTAAATAAGTAGTCAAATTATAATCCCAAAATTTTAAAATATGTAAATCGGAGGTACAATGATCAAATTCCCCCAAATAACTAGCCATTCTTAGTAGAAATTATGACCATCCATCCTGAAAAATATTGAATTTACCAATCATATAGTTATTTTCTGTTTGTACAGTTTTGCTTTTGATTTGTTTTCCCATAAATGTGTCTCTTAGTAGTAATTCATAATCCATGTGCACTTCAGGTTGTTGTCTTTTTATAAGTGCCTAACTAGATTATTAAAGAAATGTACAGATAATCTAGTCAGAAGAAGAATGAAAAGCTAGCACTCTTTGACTGGCCTATCCCCACCCCCACCTCCCTAAAAAACAGCCCTTTGTTCCCTCTGTTCACGGTTTCACTTTTCTAGGAATAATTATAAGATATGAACTGTACATGAAAAGATCGAGTTCTAACGGAGAAAGCAGCTCTGCAGAAAGTCGAGTGTTTCAGAACAGTGGCTGGCTGAGTCCTCACCCATTTACAGAATCGGCCAACGAAAATGCATTACAACCTCCTCAAACAGCCACGGTCATCACTGGCTTGGAGCCATACGCCAGCTACGAGTTTAGAGTCTTAGCTGTGAATATGGCCGGTAGCGTGTCTTCTGCTTGGACGTCAGAAAGAACAGGAGAATCAGGTAAAGATCGGTGCTTTGAACTCTTTTTTTAAAAACTCCTGAATGAAAGTATGGCCTCCAACTAAATTCAACAGCGCTAAAGTACATTTCGAAAAGCAAAAATGACAAGTGCTTGTAGAGGCCATGGAAATTTTTAAGGTATGAGCTGATCACTTAAACAACTCAAGGTCATAAAGTACTTGAAGTAAGTTTCAGGGGCAACAAAAGCAAATGATTTAGCTATTACTTCAAGGATGGAGGGAGGGATGACCTAACTTGGTGATAGTCTTTTGGGAAGTTTTTGCCAAAACGAGGGACTTGTTTCTGGTTCTGCAGTGGGTGAACTGTATGCATCATCTTACTCAGTTTTAGAAAATTTGTATTCAATGAAAAAGATAATAGTTACTAATTTCATATATATGCCTTTGTTTTTGTTTCTAATTCAAAAGGAGTAGTTACGTACTAAGTGGTACATCAGACAGGAGCCTAGACATCAAAACCTGTAATATGCAAGTGTGTTTCTGAGCAGTTGGCAATATGATAAGGAAGGAGGGCAAATTTTTAACATTTTCTTCAGATAGCATCACTAAGGCAGAAAGATTTTTTAATCCTCCACCTTAACCTTTACATTAAAAATATTTCAAATTTCATGAGCCTTTAAGAAAACAAATATCTATACTCTTTTTATACTTTGAACCTATGGCTATCCAAAGAAACCCAAGTCCTGGTCTAAATTTGTTAGGACTGTGGAGGACGAAGGTAGTTTTAGGTTGATGTCCAAGGGAATCATTTCATGAATACAATGCGCGTTGTGCTTGAGCATCTGTTAATGACCAGCAGCCATCTTGGACAAATAATAGTGCCATGACGGCACAAGTGATGAGGCATGGCACTCTGAAAGGAGAAAATCAAGGTCAGGAATAAAAAATAATGGGTGAAATTGTAATACTGGACCCTCATAATCTTATGGGTCACTGGCTAATGGAAGTGTGATGAGGTCCTTTGATAATACACCTTTGGTTAGCACATTTAAAATCCATATTGAGATCTCAAGGATGGCAGGGGGAAATATATGTGTGTGGGTACCCTGAACATTTCAGTCAAGATTTATCAAAAACTTAAAAAATTTTCTTTGGGGTTATTAAGACCATTTCAGATTTGCCTGTTTCTAAACAGTACCAGTTGTACCTATTGAGATATTTCTTTACACAAGAAACCCAGAACATCACTATGGGCTGTTCATAATTTTGTGGACTGAGACATACTGTTTTTGTGAGTTCTCCTTTCAAATATTTCATAAGACCTGTAGTTTCCTGCTCAATTATCCACGTAAGTGTTCATAATTACCTTTATGAATAACAGCAAATTTCTATATGGTTTTTATTTTGTAAATGGAAAGCGTCTTTGCTGGTAATATAAAAATGGAGAACATCCTTGCAGATAATGTAAAAAAAGTGAATACTTTTTATATACACCAGTATATTCTTTGATTTTTAAAAATCAGAATATTTTATAAGGAAAAGGGGTATTTCAGAAAAAAAGAATAAACTTATGAATCCAGTCTTAGAACTTTTAAGTACAGCGTTCATTATTTTGTTTTTGTCTTTGACAGTGCCTGTATTCATGATCCCTCCTTCAGTCTTCCCTCTCTCACCATACTCTCTCAACGTCTCCTGGGAGAAGCCAGCAGATAATGTTACAAGGGGAGAAGTTACAGGGTATAATGTCAATATGATTTCTGAGCAGTCACCTCAACCATCTATTCCAGTGACGTCTTCACAGGTATTGTTATTTTCAACCAGTGTCCTTTCAGAATTGAATTATGGCTTCCTTTTGCTGTTTTCTGAGTTTGCAGAACTCTGTGACAGAATTCTCTCTCTCTCTTCATTGAGATGGTGCATTTTGTTACTCAACCTAATACAGTAAAACCTGAGAAAGCCAGAAGCTGTGTAAAGAGGAAACTTGTCAGAGAAGGAACACTCACCTGTTTTCCACTAAATAGCGATAGGAAAGTGGTGACTGTACCCTGTCAAAGGCAGAAAACGTGAGACCCGGAAAAACAAGGCAGTCTCAATGAGCGAGTTCCAGCTTTCACAGGTTTCACTGTATATTCTACATGATTTTACATTTTTTCACTTATTTTTTTGAATATAAACATATTGGGGCAAAGTTGGTATAATTTTGTTTCATAAGATCTACTTTTTCCATTTAACATATATTCTTAAATATCTTACAAGAAGCTGACTTTCAGTAGCTGCACACTGTCATATTTTTTAGACATGCAAAAATGCATTTAACCAGTCAACCATCAGTTGATATTTACATTGTATTTAATCTTTTGAGAATATAAGTAACATTGATGAGAACATCTTATAGAACATTTTGCATTCTTCTATTCTCTTAGAAAAAGTTCTGAAGAATGGAATTTATCACAGCTTATAAGAAAAGTTATGTGCATGTTTAAGGTTTTGGATTCACAGTTCCATACTGCCTTTTAGTAATTTATACTCCAGGTGGCATTGATGAGAATAACAATCATAGTTAACAGTTACTGAGGCATTACTGGGTACGTGGACTAACCCATTTGATACACCTAACAATTATGGAGGATGAGAAACTCTTGTCCTCCAGCTTGTGGTTGTGATTGATATATCCCAGGAGCCCATTTCACCATCCCAGGGTTGGCCAATGACAGATACTTCTCTTTTCACTGCAAATGGATGACCAGATTCACTGCCTGAAGTTCTGCATATTGAGAGGACTTCTTCTCACTGGTCTTTTCAGGGCCATCCCTGAGTGGGACTATAGAGCAATGCCCGTCTGTGAACCAAGCTCTGCTTTCTTTCACACTGTCAGCCCTTGAGGGACCTTCCATGGGCTGTAGGTATGTGCTGAGGTTGAGCCACTTGTGCAACAGTGGCTGATAACACGGGGGTGGGGGTTGGATCATCTGCTAGTACAACATGTTGTGCCTTCTGGCTTTGCTTATGCCCAATCTGAAATACCCAGCTCCACCTTATGATGAGTTTCTGTTGGGCCCACCTGACATTACGACTTAACATGTCTGACAGAACTCAGCAAGAGCCATCTGATTTCATAATTCTTATAATTACTACTTACCCCAACATTGTCCTTATAATTACTAGTTCCCTCAAACAGTGAATTCCCTTCCACTGGTAATCCATCCCAGTTCACCACTAGTGAAAGTTTAACAGTTGCATCACTAGAACATGCTGGGAGTCATCACTACGCCATCTCATACCAGTGATGAGGCCCTCATGACCAGACCGCTCCTATGTGATCCAACTCCAACATACCATTTAGCGTCTCCTTCCTAGGGCCACTCCTGGTGTCTCTGGTCTTTAGTCAGTTTTCCCAAGAAATAGATTCTATGGTAGAGAATTGAATGCAAGAGGTTTATTGGGGAGTGCTCTCAGAAAAAAACACCTGTAAAATAGTAAGAAAGGCAGGGCTGAGCAAAATAAGAAGCTGAATTGTGACGCAATAGTGAAAAAGGCCTCAGCTAATCCCATGCATGGGCCTGGAACTGAAATGACCCTGTAAGATTTTCTTAAGGCAAAGGACCAGACCTTTTACTCCCATATTCATCAGTCATAGTCATGGAATGTAGGCTGCCCCTAGGGAGGGGCTATGATACTGCGCAAGGCAATTCCCTTTAGCCACAGGCAAATTCATGGAGTAGGACAGAGATGTGAGTTATTGAAAGCCAACACTCCTGGCAGTTGGAGGAATGAATGCCTGGGTTCTTGGGTATGTGGGAGGTGCACTTCAGCATCTTTTCATACCTTTATAATTACTATTTCTTTATTTTGAAGGTATTTATTAGTTTTCTAATTTTTATTTAGAAAGTATTTATTAGTTCCCTATTACGAGGAATGATAAAATTAATCTCGTCCTCTCCTTTCTCCTCCATATCCTTCACTAGTTGATTTTAATCAATAATATGTATATTTGTGGATACTTACCTTTGCATTATTGTATGTATTTATTTATAAGTTGATTTATTTGTTTCAGATAACATCTTTAGCTCCTAGGTATTTCAGTTGAAATAATCATTATACACGCTTTACCTTTCTTCTTTTGTTTTTACCTTTCCCTTCCAATTCAATCTTAAATATTTTTTATATCATCAAGATATATAACACTTACGACAAGATTTATATTATCTCTCTCCCTCATGCTAATCACCATGTTTATTATAGTTTCAGTTCTATGATTATTATACTCAGTGTTCACAGGAATCCTTTTGACATGGTTTCTGTAAACTGCCTCTTGGCTGGAATTTTTCTCTCATGGTTTTCTAAAGAAGGGTTCCTAAGGAAAATAGCTTCTGATGACTCTTATTTTCATGATTGTTGGTCTGGACCTACATGCCTACATGGGTCACATATCCCCCCTCTTACCCACTGCCCCACCACGGGCCTTTTAGGGATGTTATAGTCGTTGCTTCATACCTTCTGGTGCTGAACATTGCTGTGGAGAAGTGTGAGGCCATCTTGATTTTTCTCTTCCTAAGACACTTGACCTTCTTGCCTGATTGCCTCAGTTTTTTTGTTTGTTTTTAATCTTTGAAATTCAGTTAATCTACTAGGATATAACTTGACTGTGCTGGGTTAATTTTCCATGGCACAGAAGGCTCTTACTTCAAATTGTCTGTTATTTCAGGGAGTTTTCTTGAGTTATAACTTTAAGTGACTGTTTTATTTCCTTTAGTTTAATTTGGTTCTTAGAAACATCAGTTATGGATATACATTATTTCCTTTTTTCTGGCACAGGGGTTAAGCATTTGGCTGCTAACCAAAAGGTTGGCAGTTTGAATCCACCAGCCGCTCCTTGGAAACCCTATGGGGCCGTTCTACTCTGTCCTGTAGGTTCACTATGAGTTGGAATTAACTCTGTGGCAATGGGTTTAGTTTTTGGTTTATAGTTTCTAAAGCTATCTTTTTTTTTTTTCTTAATTCTTTTTAAATCTTTATTCTTTTTATAGGATAGCAATTATGTATATGTTGGATTTTTTTGGTCTCATAGCTATCATTTTTCTCTTTAAATCTTTATTCATTTCTTTTTTATTTTCTTCATTTTTCTTATTTCTAACTCCCATGTCCTTTGCTATGTTTTCTACACTATTATCTCTAGTGCTATTTCTAATCTTGTCTTTCTTTATACAAAAGTTCTCCCCCTCCAATTCTAATTTCATTCTAAGATCATCCCTTAGTCCATTTTTCATCTACTCCTATTGTCTTCATGTCTTCTCTCTGAGTTTTTTTTTTTTTTTTAATCCTTTTTATTATTAAATAAATACAGGTACAAAATAACCAAGTAACTCAAATGTAGAGTTTAGTGAATTATTATAAGGAGAAACCATCCAGGTCAAGAGACAAAATTTTGCCAGCCACCCAGAAACCCTCCCATGTGCCTCATCCCAGTCACAACCCTTTCCTGGCCCCATAAGTAATCCTTATCTTGACTTTTAAATAATAAAAAAAATCTTGTGTTTTCTTAACTTTTATATCTATTGTGCATCTCTAGTTACCATAATTTAATCTTATGCATTGCTTGAAATTTGATATACTTTCTAAGTCTTTTTCAGTCTATACAATCCTCTTCTATTGCTTTCTCTTTCTTACAATATCACTGTAGAAGAACCCATACTGGTGGACCTGTAGAGTTTTCCACATTCTGGATTTTGCTGGTTACACACTCATGGTGCAATTCAACATATTCCTCTGGCATCTGTATTTCCTTCAAAGTGGCAGCTGGATCAAACTCAGGGTCAATTCGTTTTGAAAGACTGTTGGTGGTATTTGGCAAGAATATAGAAAACAAATGAAATCTGATTGTCTCTCTTTTTGTGGTTTTAACCCTTGATGCTTAATGCCTATATCCTTTCACTGAGGTTGCAAAAAGATGTTAGTCAGAATACCTAAAAAGAGATAATTTCTCTTCTCTTTGATTACCCATGGTATTGTTTACACAGAAAAGACAGGGAAAATATTTCATTCCTTCCTTTTTATATATCAGTTTTCAAGACAATGAATTTCTTCTCTATTACCTTACAAAGATGACTATTTTTTTAAATACCATTAACTCATGGATTGAAACAAAATTTGATGAATTTCAATCAATTGCAATTTTTATCAATTTTGAAGGGCCAATTGTCTCATGTTTGGAAGTGAGAGTCCTTAGATACATTGACTGAACTCTAGTCGTCTTTAATAGCTTCCTTGGTTTCTAATAATGACAAGATGTCCAAACCCGTTTTGTATACATCCTGCCCAGACCTGAAACCAGCCATTTCTTCAAGAATCCCTGATTTGTTTTAATGGGAAATAGGGAATGATCATAATCTGTGCACTAGGAATACCTTTGCTAATGAGTTTGCCATTGTTTCTAAGCCATTTCAGTGGACAGAGCATATATATCATACATATAAAATGCATAGTTTTATTTTTTATACTAGAAGGAAAAAAAGAGTCTGCAAATAATTTATGATTTCATGGTATACTTTTCTATTAGTATGGATATAAATACAGATTAATTTGCAACTATCGCATGTAATAAAAATACAGCTAGTATAATACATATATTTTAACTTAACCAACTGAGTCTACTAATTCAGCATACTATGCGTCTTGAAGTAAGTTTACAGTTAGAGCTTCTGCCTTTGGTCTTTGATTGTCATGTTTTATGCCATGTTTCTCCTTGAAATTCCGTTTTGTTGTTGTTTTGGTTATTCTTTTGTTTTGGAAGCTATTCTTTCTTTGTAAAACACAGTTTCAAAACAACTCTTGCTTGCATTATAGTAGTTATTCTATCCTA